TCCACAAGGCTGTCCTTCGGCCCTGTTGAGTGGCTCAGAAGGACATACACCGGCTGCCTTTTTGTTAGTAATGGAGCAGGTTCCGGCTGAAGAGTTGGAGATCGTCATCGTCGTCAAGACCTGTGCAGCACGCATGGGCTGTTCTATGGTTGACCGTAGGACTACTCCAGTAGTAGCTGGCTCATCGACTGACGGTAACGACACTGACCCTGCGCCCGAAAAATAAAATCTGGCCGTTGAACCGTAAACATTTGAAGCACTCGACTTGTGTTAGAGAGACTGTCGAAAGAAGAGATGTAGTCAAAGGCCAAGAGGGGCAAAGAAGAGTGGCTAAGAGGTATAAGGAGACTGTAGAGCATCTGCCCATGAACCGACGACGGCGGCGGCGGCGGCGGCAACGACGACGACGACGTCGTCGTCGGCACCCAATGACGTTCAACAGAAAAAAAACAGAAAAAGGCGACGATCAGTATTAGAACTTATGTCTCAGTCGCTGCTGCTGCTAGGCAGAAGTGGGAAATTCTTGTAAAAAGAAGCTACAGAAAACGGCATCATCCGTCGGCGATTGTGGAGAAAATCGTGGTACCATTTGTCTCAGAAGAGAACTCTTAGTTGTTACTCGCTTTCTTTTTTTTCTTTTTTAAATAATACTAGCTTGCGTTTAAGTGAACCAGCAGCGGTGGCGGCAGCAAACTATAGACCAGAGAAGAGCCTGCTGTTCCGATCCGCGTCACTTCGGGCTCGAGATCCAAATCAGAGGGTGCAAAAAAGAATGAGGGGGAGACAACGATAGGTCCGTCGTTGCAGTAGCACGCGCGATGTGACTGCTTGCTGTTAGCTAGCGCTAGATTCGTCACGGGGTAATCGCTGTTGAGAGATGTGTGCATAGTAGTAACCTGTTACTGCCGGCAGCACCGAGTGACGGGACATATTTTAGGTTAGCGGATTGATGAAGGCTAGATAAGGTGATGAAAGTACATCTGAGGCGTTCTACTTCGAACAACCACCGCTAGCAAATAATTCTGTAGGAAAACACGCGTGAACATGTATAACAGAAAGTCGAAGAAAGCGAAAAGCTCATGCCGCGGCAGAATTCGCCCGTATGGAATGGTTTTTTTCTCATGGTTGTATTTTTTCGTAAATACAGTTAAACTATGATTCAGTGAGCTCACGTAGTAAGTTCTGCGCCAACTACTTAGTCTACATTGAATGTGTTTGCCCTCATACAGCTATCCCAATTTGAGGAAATCTTTCCCGTATTATGCTGTGCGGTCTACAGAACAGTACGTGAAGAAGTCCTTGTACGTCTACCCGTAAATAAGGAAAACTTAAAAAAGCAGCTAGAAATAATGGCGGTCGCTGTTTCAACAAATTTTTACGGCCGCCTCAGGATCGATTTACTAAAAATGCTTCTATCAGCGTTCCACAGTCATGGCACTCATGACCGTGACCGATAACGACGAACATTCGTTACTGGAGACAGCTTTCTTCGAAATATAATGTTTTCTTTATTTCGTTATTTCATTTACACCTACTCTTTTTTACCTACAATTGACGTACGATGCTTTTACGCGCCGAATCGGATTTTTGCTCATTGTTGACTTATTTTCTGTAGTCGCTCATTGCGTCTGCTAAGCGATTGAATACTCGACGGCAACCAGAGATAAGACCTTCGTGGGCCGATCTGTCGAGCCGATCGGCGAACCCGTTGCTTGTCAAGAAAAGCAACCAAATGGACGACGTTTGCTGTTTCGTTTGTTCGGTGGCAAAAACAGACAAGGAAACGAATGTAGGAGAAAAGTACAACGGTTTATTCAACCGTAGTGCCCTTCGTGCTCGGCGATAGGCAATAGGCCCCAAAAGTGACTGGTCACGCTGACAGCGTGCCCCGTCTATATGACATCCATTGCCACTCCAGCCATTGTCATCGCCAACAGCAGATAATGGACATGTGAACGTAATCCAAATGCTGCTGATAGAAGGTAATCTAATAAAATTATTATCTTTGCCGGTTCAGCGGAATTATTATCGTTATGCCGGTCAAGTATAACGATAACAATCTTAAGGATTCTTTTCGGCTACGACAGAATATCTTCCACAACTAGTCGAATTGCTACATATGTACGGATCATGGATCGTCGGATACCCCCTTACCGATTTGGTGTCGCATCAAGTCGGTTCGATTGCTCCTAACGCGTCTTTTCGGCGTCGACGGAGGACCGCTGCTGTGGCAGCTGCTGAAGGAACTGTTTATTTTTTTGTTGGTCCGCGTCTTTCTGCTCTATTTAGTTTCGCTGTTGGCGTTGTCATCTTATATGTTGTATGTTTGTGTGAAGCACAAACATACTTGTACTGTATAGCAGTAATGCTCGTTGTAGCGGTAAAACGAGTCGCCCAATGCCATGTATTTGGTCTCTCGATATAATCATCATAATAATAAAAAAGGTATTTTACATGGTTTAGGATAGGTTTCGAGGAAAGCATCATCCAACAGAAATCGTCAAGCGCGAAAACTGTACAATGCCATTAGACGAACGGAAGGTAACCAGAAAACGAGCGAGATGAACATTAACGTATTTTCATTAATAAATCAAAACCGTTCGCTTGTTTTTCTCTGCTTATAATCATCGAGTCAGTTTCAGCCTTAGCGATGATCGGTGTCTTCAAGGTCTACATTGTGGTGACGTGCAGATTTACTTTATGTGTGCACCTCTGGCATCGTAGAGTACGATGCTGTAGGGATTTCGGTTTGTGTGTGCAGGAGGTAACATTGAGGTGTGAATACTTTTTGGGGGACTTTTCTTTAGATTTACACTCGAGCCAAGCTCTTCGAAAACGGAAGGCGCTATATATGAATTTTGGGCATCTTATAGGGTTGCTAAAGATGGCGACTAAGACAAAAGCGAATTGGCGAGTTAACTTTTATACGATCGATTGCGGGCAATCGGTAGCTCGATCGTTCTACGTGATACCTTTTTCACCATCGCCATCGGTATTGCCGCCGAACTAGCGGATAGTTGAACCGCTCTCACCTGTACTCTGGCTACACTTCGTGTGTTCGATCAGTGACCAATTCGAGGATTGTTGTTTGCTCGAACAGAAGAAGTTGGCGGACGATGTGGGCGACAGAAAGCCAATTTTATGAGTGTCGTGTGCTGCCAGCTTGCCGCGGCAGCGAGGACTCGATTTGGCCAACGTATGTTATTCTGCTTAGCGTTCGATGGACAAACGAGAAAAAACCACGAAGATCTAGTTGATTTTGTTCTACTGCTATTACCAGCCTCCGTTTTACTTAAAGTGTCGTAGTATAGAAGGATATTTTGAAAATGGTTGTAATGGTGACGATTTTGAAATTATGTCTTGTTTACAACAATTAGCGTATGTGTAATATATAATTCCTTTTGTTTGTATTGTTAGCCTACATATCATAAGCAATAATTTTTGCTAAAAAACACCAAACTTGTCAGCTCTATCTATTTCTAATGCAGCCGGAACAACATCACTAGAAATCAACGGCACAAGCTTTGATGATCCATTTCCAAGATACCATTGTGAAGAAAAAAGAAGTACCAGTGGTGGTAGGTCTGTACCCACAACCGCTTTAGGGGAGATTAACAATAGCGAAATATGGAAATAAACGGAGCATTTGTTATCTTCGAGAGTTAGCATTGGAAATGTCGAAGCTCATCCGAGTGTAAAGCTGGAGGCTAAAAACGATCTCGTTCGTCCAATTTAATATGGGCCTGATTGCTGTAAGCAGTTCAAGGTTGGCCTCCAAGGAGAGACAAACTTTGTCTTTCAAAGCAGAAATGTGCTAAGTCAGCCAGTAGCGACAGTCGAGAGATGGCCTCTGGCTGAATTTTGCCCGATGATGGAAATGGTGATTGTGCCGATCCTCATCGCAGTCTCCTGCTTCTGCGCTGTAGCATACTCAATAGATGCCAGTGCTGGTACTCATTGTCTGACTACGTTTTTTACTAGTTCTGTGTCTTTTTCTAGCTAGAGCGTTCGAAGGAGAGGTGTAATTCTGGCTGACTAGCTAGCTAGCGGTCTGGGGTGCAGTGCTGCCTCTGCTGCAACAGGGGGAGCGGACCCTGTTGTAGGAAGTTGGGGAGCCGGAGGCCCCCCGGTTAGCCATCGTCTAAAAACTGGTTCAGACACAGAAAGCAAACGGTGTGCTCTCGTGTTCTCCTTCACTAACGGTCCTATCGCGTTGTTGGCAGCTGACTGAGCAGACCTACAGCTTTGGGGTTATTGCTACTGCAGCGTGTATGTATGTAGATTTTTCGGTAACCAAAATTCAACTGCAGTGTATCACTTCTCAGAACACCGCCAGAACGCAGCGCCTCAAACGATACTGCTAACAGCATCAAAGAGACCGCTACTATAGCACAATATGCTAACTCGTTGCTTTCCAAGTATCTCTTTCGATTCTCTCGCTGAATTAAAGTAACTAGTGAGCCTGAATAGAACAAAAGGCATCGGACGAAATATGAGGTGAAATAAAATGTCTATGATTTATCGAAGTGTGATCAACGTGATAATGGGTTCATTCAGTACCCAATTGATACTGCAAATAAAATTATACTAAAAAAATTATTACATTGTCCTTCTACGAAAGTTAACTTCGTCGAACTTTTGCCGTCTGAAAATGTCACTCGCAGATTTATAATTTATCTAGGACATTGATGAATGGATAAATACATAGGAGTACGCTTATTATCTATATAGTAGGGGTGTTTTTCTTGTAGGCACGTCCCGCTAGCACCGCTAGCAGCGTAATAGTGTGAAGGAACTGTTTATACGCCAATATAAGGCAGCTGGGCTGGGCTAGGCTATTGCTCATAGTTACAAACGGCGAATTTGATCCTTTTTAGTAACTAACTTCCCAAAGTATACATAGACATTTATTATATATATATATATATAGAGAGAGAGAGTTTAATGATAAAGTGCTTGGTCCTAACGTATGCTTGTCTTCTTCTTAATGTGGTTCGCAGTGATAATAACAACCAGATCGTGGACTGCGATACGGCGATCTGCAGTGCGGAAGATCAATTGGAACGGCAGGCAAAGATCCAAAGAATGTACCTTTCCCCTAACGACGAGGCATATTCTCGGTATGTTTAGCGTGTGTACATGCGTAAGAATTACATAATTTTGTTCTTAAAGAGAGTCATTCTTCATGTTTACTGTATATCGCGGTACTTGGAATTTCTACTGAAACAACATAGTGTTCGATAAATTTAACCATTTTCTATAACAATTACCTTAGCATCTTGAAAATTATAAGAGGACGCATTATTCCATTGTACTATCTTCGTCATAGTCATACTTCGCATGGTACGTATCTGTGTTTCACTTTTATTGTATCCTTTGCATTTTGAACGGCGTTGAAGAACATAGATGTATTGGTACTACTCATATATTGTCTGTTCATTTACTTTTTTCTAAAATATCTCTAGATACGAGAAGGAGTTCTTAGAACTGGATCAGATTGGCAACGGCGAATTTGGCGCAGTATTCAAAAGCATCAACCGTCTTGATGGATGTATATACGCCATCAAGAAGCTAAAGAAGCCGATGCAAGGTAGTGCCGAAGAGAAAGCGTCATTAACTGAAGTTTGGGCACACGCTGTGCTCGGCGTTAACAAACACGTCGTTCGTTACTACTCTGCCTGGGCGGAACACAATCACATGATCATTCAGAATGAATTCTGCAATGGCGGCTCATTGCACGATCAAGTGAAAGAGGTACAGCCACTGTCGTGTACACGTAACCAGATTTACTTGCGACCACTCACTGATAAATGTGCATGTTGTTACAGGCGTAGGAATGATTTTAGATTACAGAATGATTTTCTGTACGTTGATGTTAATTTTTCCCCACAGAAACAGCCGATGTGGGCATAAGAGGCAAATTCGAAGATGGTCCTTTCGGATTGGATGGTATTCACTTGTTGCGAAATATAGACGCTTATCTGTATTGTTATTAACTAACTGTGCGAGGTTAATGCATAAGAACGCATAATAGGATGTCATTTTCTATATAATCGCCAGCGCCTTCATTATGATGTATGTGCGATGTTATATTGTGGCTACTTGTCTAATGTGCACTATACATTTAATATTTTTGCAGAACATACGTAACGGAGAAGCGATGACTGAGGTCCAACTTCGTCGTCTGACATTGCACATAGCCCATGGGCTAAAGTTTATCCACGGACAGAATCTCGTTCATATGGACATTAAGCCAGGAAATATCTTTATTTCTCGAAGCGACAACGCGAGTGAAGACGACGGCTTTGTTGAGGATGAAATCGAGGAGGGCATCACATACAAGATCGGTGACCTTGGACTCGTCACGTCGTCGGTGCATCCCGAAGTGGAAGAGGGTGACTGTCGTTACATGGCGCCCGAACTGCTGCGCGACGATCACTCCAACCTGCAGAAGGCTGATATCTTCAGTCTGGGTATGACCATCTACGAGGTTGGCCTTAGTATAGAGCTACCGAAGAACGGCGAAGAATGGCAACAGCTTCGTCGAGGCGAGCTTCGACTATTGACACATTGCAGCACCGAATTCAACCAGCTGCTTCAGCGTATGTGTCACCCACAGCCGGAGAAGCGGCCTACGGCACAGCAGCTCGTCTGCGACTCATGCCTTGTTCCATACGCCGACAAGTCGAAAGCTCAGCTTCACATGGAGCTCAATATCGAAAAGTTCCGCACACGAGTGCTAGAGCAGCAGCTTGCAGTCGCGCTGGGTTTCCAGGTGCCACAGTGCCCAGCTGATGTCCGACTCAACTTTGACTTCCTAAGTAACCCACCACCGTTCACGGCTAATCGGACCATCGCCAACGACAGCAGCCAGTCAAGCAACAACAACGTCAGCAGCAGCAGCAGCAGCAGTAGCAGTCAGCAAAATGACGTAATCGGACTGAAGAGCAACGTTAGCAACAACAAAATCAGTGGTACCAATCATAGTAGCAATAATCACAACGACACAAATAATAATCCTACCGTCAATAATAACAATAATAGTAATAACAATAATCGTACGATCGCGATCAACAGGGAGTTCCCCGCCGCCCGACGGAACCTCTTTGTTGGGCGGGGTACAATGCGATCTAATAGTGTACAGAACTTTTAAATTGGGTCAGGACGTCTCGGAGTGGTCAGCTGACCTTGCCAAAGTCTTCCATTTACTTGAGAGAATACCACACTGATTAATTTGCCTGCTAATTGTTCCTGTGCTTTTTCACGCTTGTGGCAAACAAGCATTTTAAACTTACACAAGTCAGAACGACAACATGGATTGTATAAATGTCATGGAGGTCGTTGCGCTTTCACTGAGACTATACGTCGTTCCTATCGCAGTCGATCAGGCAGTAGCAGACAAACCTGGAACACCGTGACAATATTATGTGCCGTTTATTACTGTATGATTACTGAGCATGGCGTAATAGGAGTAATGTTAGCCTTCCTCTGACAGTTATGGAGGCGGCATGGTAACAATACTTTATTCGGTGGCCATACGAACACGACGTTAACGTTGCAGAACGGATGTGTGTATTATGGCAAGGAGGAAAAAAACACAGTTGAAAACGAGTTAAATAACATGTTTTGATCGTTAATGTTTAATAGGAATGATAGAACTGACAATAATGAAGTTGACGCTGATCATTGACTGATGTTATTATTAATATTGTGACTAATAAGAGAAACGATGAAGATGGTGAGGTGATGATGGCAAAGCAGAGGGAAAGGTTCTCGGCTATCAAACGAGACCATTGCCGATATAATTACTAGCTAAACGCTAAAAGTCTGAAGTCCACCCTTTAAAGTCGACGAAAAGTCCACGATAAAGCGCAACAATTACATACCTCGTGAGTCTGGGACGGGCTCGGCTCTCGATAAGAGGGAGGCGGCAGAAAAATAAAAATCTAATTAACTGCTTAGTATACAGCAAAGGAGCCATTCTAAGTGTGTATAACGCAGGCTGCGTGATAATTGTACTATGGAAACGAATTACCAAGAATTATTATTATTATTATTATTTCAAGTTTTACTGTGAATGTAAATGATTTTCTATATTCCTATCCTAGCCACCTAAAAATTTACGTAGCCCATGTTTAATACAACACAGGAGTGAAGCAAAATTTCATAGGCGACACATTTTAACCTTAATGACAAGTATATTCACACGTAAATAACGCTATTTTTTTTTCGACACGATGTAAATATGTTGTATTCAATCAATCATTCGTCATGTAAACCCACTACATTTTGTGTATCATCATTTCATCATAATTGGTCTATGTAGAAACACTAGTGCCGGGTTACAGTTAGGCCATTGGTAAACAGTCATCACAGTCATCAATATAATCGTGGTAATAGTAGAATTTGCGAACGCTATATACGGTGGCGGCAACTTGTATCTAGGGGAGGCGGAGGGGGTTGATCCCACGATAGGCGCGCCGTGACGACGTAGACTAAAGCGAAGTGTTCAACAAAAGCACATGAGGGCTTTGTATGTACAAAATTGAAATCCCTTAATCTTATAGTTATTTTCGGCTGTTTGTTTAAGCTGTTGTCTAAACAAAGCGTATAGATGGAATCATATCATAGTCGATAAATGCGAATGGTCTAAACGAAAAGTGCCGTAAACAATATTGACTAAACACTCGCAGTTGGGTAGCTAAGCGAAAGTGTCTCATATGAAAAGCCCAAACCAGATAAAACCATTGCGATTTCACTGACAGTTTCTCATTTTCAATAACACTATGATGTGATGATATACTAATAAGAACAATCTAGCATCTAACTGTGATGTCCGCAACCAGGACACTGGAGAAGGATACTGTTTTCAAGCGTTCACAAGCTTCAAAAAAATTTCCTGCCACAGACTGTTACTGTGGCTTAGTTGAAACGAGAAAAATTGGCAAAAATGTTGAAAAATGAACAATGTTGGAAACATCTTAATCAGGACAGGTGCTGTCATTGTGAAATTTCTTCATTGAGTTTGGTTTTGTTTATCTGGAACAGCTGGCTCACAGCTCGTCCACTATTGTCACACTCACAACAGCCGCAACTGATTAAGAATCGCGATTATATATAGAAGTTCATTCAGTGTGAACATCATCAAGATACTATAAAAGTTCTGAAGATAAAAAAATTATTGATAAATAACAGCTCGGTTAAGTAGGTAGAGAACGAAGCGTTGCGAACGAAAAGTTAATGTAAAATGTACGCAGTCAATGAAGATACCCAAATACAGCGACAACGACAAGGAGAAGATCTGCAGAATTACATCGTCCGTGTTTTGTGTACATAGTACTTCTATCAACGTGATACGATGTATAAAATATAGATTGCTGTTCCTCCGTGGTGAATATAAACACAAATGTTAAATGGAACAAACCTATTCTTGCATTTTGAAAATAACTTGTTTTCCTTTATATTCTATTGAGTTGCGTACATTCGCTTGTTACTTCTCATACTCCTTCGATAGAGCACTTTATGCTGTCGTTTACAAACTACAGCTTCATCAACATTTTCGCCAGACGGTCTCAAAAGACGTGCCTCCGTAGGAAAAGTGACTGTTTAATGAAGAAGGAACCTCTTCTCTAGTTCTTCTATATATTTTACCATTCTAGTTGCGATTTTAATCAGGTATGGCTTGTAACATAGTTGATAGTTAGTGAGGTTACCTGAAAAATGTATCATCGGTCACACAAAGGGCCTGTACCATATACTCGTGGGGTTCATTCATATCAAGGACATGTATGCAAATGATCCTAGAAGAGGACTTCGAAAAAAACGCTTTAGAATTTTTTTATAATATCTAAAGTTTTTCTCTATTAATGCGTATGGGCAAACGATAAGACCGGCTCAAGGTAAACAGCGCTTACTTCACTGTTTACCAGATTCTTCCCTGTATTCTTAACCTTCATTATTTATAAGTATATGAAGCAATCTGTGTATTACATTCGGATAATTTAGAATATGCCATTGCAGATTTTCAAGAGGCAGCCATCTCTTCTTCTATATCTATCAACTAGCGATGGTTCGTCGGTAATTCGGTGAATGAAATTATATACATTTACTAAGCGTAATAAATTTACGTTACAGCTAGTACATCAAGTCCTTTCTCTTATTCTTTGTATTTTAGATCCCTTTAGAGACAAAAAGAGCAATTGTAGCACAATAGGCAAAATTGTCCTACATTCAGCTACGGGTCTTTACCGACGCTGGCTATCCCAAGTCCCGTTTCAGCTAAGTCCGGGACAGCGCAGTACCGCAGCAACCAGCGCAGTTGAATAGCAGTGATTGTTCTCTCGTGCCTGAACTGCTAGGAATCTGCAGCGATGGTAGATAAGCTTCATTAGTAATGGCTGCTATCGAATGCATGGTCAGTAACGTCGTAACCCCACACGCACCTGGTCAATCGGGATTTCATAATTCGGCCTGCGTTTTCACGGATGCTTAATTGAAATAAAAATCCACTAGTACTACCTTCCAGGGAACTGACCTTGAGTTTCATCTGCACACTTGACTAGACGGTCTGAGGGGATTTGATTTTTGGCTGCCACTTATACCATTGAGCCCGCTGTTAACAAAAATCCTGTTGAAGCTGTTGGGTCGTTGGATATTTTTATACTGGGTCTGCTGGTTGGTGACGCACTTCCACATGCCACACGTTGTTCCGACATCGTCGAGTTAAAATTTCAGCTGATCAAACAAGGAACAGTTCGAGAGCAACAGCAAAATACGAGAGTTTTTTCGGATAGCCCGTCAATGTTGCATGGGTAACAGTGAGCTACAAATGAGAGAACGCGAGGAAAGCATTGGCGTAAATTGAAACGGAGGAAAAAGGCTCTGCTGTCTGCCGTCTTGCTCGAAATCAGGCTGCTAACGCGTGCTCAGCCTAATGACGTGCCTAAAACTTACTCCCATATAGAAAAAGTATTCATTGCTAGAGCAATATCAGTCATTTTTGGTTTATTGGTACAATAACGAACTGGAATATCAGACATCGAATGATTAGGTATAGGCCAAGTTGTAACAAGTGAAAGATTAGTATAGATGAAGCTTTTTAAACGACTTTATTGGATATTCTCGGATTTATTTGCATCACCGCTCTTGACCAGCAAATAATATATTTAGGCCAATTAGAGCTATACACTATTGTTGGATACAGACAAATGTGTTAACGGATTCAACAACACAATCAAAGCTATAGCCTGTAGGCAATCATCAGTCAGCTCTAGTACGAGAGACATAAAATGAATTTCTTCATTATATGTTCAGAAATCTATGTTTAATACCCTTCACAATGACAATATGCTGGGTGGCTATCAACTTACGCCAAAAAGCGCCTACCTCTTAACTGGAAATATATTGATAGATAGATAGATAGCAGTTGTTTTGTAGTCGTGTGTAAAATAGATACTTTATAGCCTAAAAAAACGAGGCTTATTCAAAAACATAGTGGCTTTCCTACCTAAACGCAGTGAGTCTTCAAACCATGTCGGGCTCGAATGATACCCATCGATCGAAAGCTTCTATGCCGACCTCCGATGAAAAAAGTGCGAATAGCGGGCTAGACGAAGGTGCCGCTGATAATGCCAGACCGTCACCGTTTGATATACGGGCAGACCCTGTGGATTTTGACCCAGTAGAGCATAATCCCGGACATTATGACCCGCAGCACGATCATTTGCGTTTTCATAGGTCTAATTATTATGCGCCTCTCCACCGCAAACCTGGACAATACGTACATGGCCGCTCTTCCGGTGTTTTCAATCCAGCTGCGCTAAACACGGTTACTGTCAACCCAGGGGCAGCTGATGTAAATAATGGAAATAAAGGAATTGCTCACCAAAATGCCCCAAATGCGAAAGCTAGTATTAAAAGCTCCTTGAATCCAGGGGCAGTTCTTTTAGGTCCCTTGAATCCGGCCGCCATTAACTTGGCTAATTTTAATCCAGGCGTCTACAGCCTATCCGCCTTGGACCCCAGCACTATTAGTTTAGCAGCTCTTAACCCAGAGTCCCCAAACCTCACTGCAATCCCTACAAATGTTGTGATCCCTACAACAGTTAACACAGTTAGCGCAAGCCCGGCAGCAGTAAACCCCAAGGAAGTGAATACTGAAACAGCAGTACCTGGAGTCCGGGAATCGAAGCATTTATCGAATCCTGGTGCTGGGAACTATGGCACTATAAATGCAAGAACTGTAAACTCGGAGGCGACGAGCCCCGAAATTTTGGCTTTCGGAAGCGTTAACCCCGGAGCTGTAAGTATAGGGATTGTGAATCCTGGTGCCGTAAATCCGGCGACTATGTTTAATTCGAATCTTGATGCGTTAGATCGACGTGTGGTAAATTCGACAGCTGTGAAGCCCAGTGCCTTAAATGTGGCTGGTCTAAACTCAAGGAACGTGTCTGCAGGCACAGTAGATCTGTCCGCTCTTTGCCAGGCCTCGAGCGATTTGTCATTTGTAAAGCAGAATATATGCAATTCGTCTTCTGGAAATACGACAACTTATACAGGCGTCCAAGGTTCTAGTGAATCGACCGCTGGCGTTTCGAATACGGCTTCTACAAATTCGGCTACCAGAAATTTATGTGCTGTGAATCCAGCTTCCTGTGGAGTTGATGCCGCAAGTACGAGGGTTTGCAATCCGCGCCTCACGATGTCATGTGTCGATAGATCTAGCGTTTCACATCCAGACACCGGATTGTATTCCACATGTCTCTATCATTCAAATCTTCTGTATAATGCCACGCATAACGATGCCGGTTCTAACCAGTGCAGCATCCCCTTAGGGGACCCCCATTCCAACTCGTTCAGTGCGTTCGTGTCACATCCTGAGGCGTATAGCGAATCAGTGCCTAGCCCTGGCACATTAAATGCAAATGCTCTATGCTTTCCTGAATCCGACTCTGCTAGGAGTGCCTGCCCCAGCAGACAGGGCAACAATGCTCCTGGTATTTGCAACGTAAATTTTCAGAATGCGGATGCATTCAACGCCAGCCTTTCTGTTCCAGAATCAGTGAATATGTCTTCGAATTCTGGATCATTTACAGGACAACTTAATCCAGGAGTGTCAAGCTCAAACTCAATGCCATGTAACTCATATATTTCTGATCAAAGAGTTCCAAATGCCGCTGGACACAATTCAGGCTGCTTAAACGCGTATCTTCGTCATGCGGGGGCTCACAATCCAAACGTGTTCTATTCAACTGGCCCGTACAACACGGAACCCACTAAACCAAGCGCATTCGGTCCTTATTGGAACGCAATTCCAGGTACGATAAATTCTGGCATGACAAGCGACGGCATAACTATACCTTGTACACTAAGCCGTTGTAGTTTTGGCGTTAATGAATGTAATCCCAGAGCTTTTAATCCGGGGATGACTTATTACAACGCTATTTACCCGGGGACATTTTATCCGGGCGCGCTTCCTTCGAGCCATTTTGCCTGAAACCCTGAACCCGAGCGCAACACACCCGGGTATACAATCCACGACTGAGAATTGTCTAAAGTAAACGTTGTAGTACTTGAGTACATCTTGAATAATTGCAAGCTTTGTGCATAGTTAAAATATCTATCTAGTATGTAAACTTGCTAAAGCTGTTATTATACAAATGTATGAATGTATGGGAATTGTCGCCCTTGGGGAGCCGATTGTACAACAAATTTAAGTAATCCCAAGTTCGACTACATATGTTTTCGTCGTGCTTAGTTCCTTAAATTACTAACTGAATCAAAAGTAGCAATGAATATTTACTTGGAACTGCGGTGAGTGAAGCTTCGAGTGCTTCGTCAACGATGTATCTTCACTTTGATAAACAGCTGTCAATTGGCACAATTTAGCACCGACGTTCTAGGCGTTCATGCAAATGTAGCTAATTTTTAACCCGTAGGCGGCGCTAAGCTTCTATTGTTTGTAATCTATTGAGTCACTTTAGACCTGAAATGTACGCCATTTAGGAATAGTTGGACTTACCCGAGTTCCCCACCGGCCCCCGTGAAACTCAGGCTTAACATTTGGAAGTGTCCGCCCCGATGTAAATTACCATCTGCTAAGTTTACTTGCTTTGCGTATTGGCTATTTGACCTGCTACATAACTTGTAGGGCCGCAGTATCTGTTTTTAATGTACGAAGGGTGCAAGACATGTCGTTGGCGACAATGGTGACGGCCACCGCCAAGTGTAGTTTCGTATGTGGCATTTTTTGCCTTACTTTTCGCACACGGTTACGGTACAGTCGGTGTCACCACCGTACAACGAAATACATTTTTCAATACCTTGTGTTTGAGCGCCAATTAAACTCATGCCAGTATTCGGCTAAAGTGGATGAAAATTAAAACGAAGTTTGTAGGTTGACAAATATGACGCTATATAAACAGAAAACAATGTCCGTTTCGTAAACAATAAGTTGATCAGTTGAAACTTGAAGAACAAAATTTATTTAAGGTCTATGGTGACATTGGTCCCGGACGGTAGTTCAGGTTCGGCCCAACTTGGGAAGGTCGACAGACCGTACACCTTATCTCCATAGAGGTTGATAGCTAGTATTTCTATGGCAACACAAATACAGTTCATAACGATACCGGGAAATGCCTGTAAGGAAAGCGCGAAAACTGTCACAAATATCGCCAGAATAACCGTGTGTCGCGTTCATCTCAAGCTAGGCCATGTTAGTTTAGCTTCTGTTTGTAGTAGATAATGTTTGCTACACGATAGACGATGTCTCACGATGATTTTACTTCAGATTAAAAAAGTACGTTCTTCAGATTAAACTACATTAATTTCCTAACCATTTGCGGTATAGTCATGTGGGCAAGATCGTAGACAATCGCATTGACCGGAGTAGCCGCTGGAAGCATAAACGAAAACGAGCAACAGATTGTAATCGGCATCATCAGATACAGCGGATGTACCCTGCGTGTGACGGAGGCAAAAAAAAAGTAGCAGATTTTGTTAAAGCTGGCCCTTCCTTCAAATAGGTTAGCTTTGTTATACCTACAAGGATGCTAGAACTGTAAATATATTACAAGACGATTGCATGACAGAAATCAATTCCGAGTTACGGAATCGGTATACCTAATGTCGTTGGTGAGGTTCTCAATAAGCATAAGGCTATTTTTGTACGGTGCGTCAACGTAAAATAGTCGTAATGACATTGAAGAAAGCTACGACAGTCTGCGCATTATCGTCTGCTACCACTTCGAGCTCATTCGAGTGGGGGGTTTCTGCTGTCTCTGATACCTGAGAGCTATGGCTATCTGCGCCACGACTGGGAGCATGATTGAGCAGATTGCGGTATTTGAAGTGATTTCGGTTAGCATGGACGCGGCGAAGCTAAGGCAAGACACTGTGACGACTGGCGGCACCCCTCGAAACAGCAAAAGCTCATCAGCGATAATCTTTGAAAGACCTTTAATAGAAACGTGTGAAAACACATAATGTAAACATTTTTTTTTTTGCTTTTTTTTTTAGGTTGCATTTGATTTAAGGTTACATTTGAAAGAATTGCTTTAGACGGCTGGTGAAACGACGCATGTCTGTGTTTAATTTTTCAGTTAGTCAACGTTTAGTGGGCAAGCACGTTACCACTGCGCTAGGTAAAAGCTTAAGTGATCCATCTGACCTGAGCGGCTTTAGATGGCCAATTAGAGTGGTAACAAATCCGAGGTAAAGCATTCGCGAAGTAACGTCTATTATAGCTGACAGTGCTACATGCAGCGGTCTTTGTTTAGCAGGCTAACGTAATGAAAGTCGATTGCGAAACAAACCAATAACCCATTATAATTGAGGGTGCTGCTATCGCTGTACAGGTGCATTTAGCAATGTGCAGACACTGTAACTATCTCCTAGCGCTGACAGGAGTTAAACCTGAAATTTGGCTGTGTTTACCAGTCGATTTGCATAGGTCCGCGAGTGCCAGCCCTCCGCCAAGCAATAACATTACGCCCCACTGCATTTTCTTTTGGAGAACTGGCCACGTCAGAATCTTCTCAGAATTTTTGCTCCAGGGATTCTGCGAAGTCAGGAGCAAAAGCAGAAGATCGCTATTAATCAGCATTTTCACCTGCTGTTTAGTGCTCAATACATATTCGAAATTGTGCCAAAATCACGACTATTACTCATTAATCGCTGACTATCCAACGATCACGTTATTATAAATACTAAAAAACAGTCTATAGGCTGGAATGTATTATCGATTATGATTGTTTTACCCTGCCCATGTTAACCTAGGGTTAATGGGTTTTTCACCTGCTGATAGAACCCAACCTTAGGAACGATGAAAAAGAGCAGCATTAGCCCCAGAGCGGGCGCTGTCGGCTTGATTATTCTAGAAAAAAACACGCGCACAAAAAATAAATAAATATAAACACAAAATCGGCATTAAATTTTTAAGAAAATTATGGCGACGTAGAGAGAAATTAAGCAAGGTTCCGTCGCTTTCTTTAACTAGGTCGCAATAGTTTTGTACATTTGTCCGAAACACGCGTCTGCCATATATGAATTAGTACTAAAAACGTTGGACTTTTTTTCAGTTTAAGCGGTTATTTGTGCTTGAATAATTTCGCACTAACTTTGAGAGGAGAAAAATTCACTTGGGTCGGTCATTGAGAAATTGTTTTCATTGTCCTTACAATATAAAACTAACCTTCCGTAGGGTAGGTAATCGGCCCATCCGTGAATGAATTGCGGTCGCATCAAGAACCACAGGACGATCGTAAAGGCCAAAAGTCCCATAACAAAAGCTTCGGCGAACGTGATAGATCCTAATCGGTTGTATTTTTCTTCAAGGCTATACCGAACTACCGCTTCCGAGTCCGCGTTCACCTTAACACTCTTTCTACACAGTTTATTACCCTTGTTTATTAGTTACCCTAAGGGTAAATTAGTGCTATATGAAATCGCTACATCGGATCGCGTAATGAATAGACAAAAATGCTCGGCTTCTGAGCGGAAAATGGCGGAAGAAGTAATCTTTAGGGCTTGCATATATACATGACAACTAGCTATTGGCCGTACAGCTCCTGTGATATCTATATTTAACACAATTTTATAGGTAGACAAACGCTATTATATCAGCCGACCTTTGTCGAAGTTAACAAGAGACGAGCTCTGTCCAGCAGTAAAAATTAACGTGAAAGATTTTTACATAGCTAGCCACGAGACGGTCCGGCAAAGCCACATTTAACAGTAAAAACGACATATAGTACCCACATAGATATAGTGAGTATTAAATTTACTATACGTACAATGCAATGTTCAAAAGTATAGACAAGAAGACGAAGCCAAATAGTGTATTGATCAACATTACTGGAGAATTATATAGCATCCAACTGCTGAACGTTACTTCTGTAGAATTCGGGTACAGCCTAAAATGAAAAGATGTTAGCAAAGAATAGAAAACGCTATTACACATTTCGGGAATGGAAAAAAATTGCTCATATTCAATGCTGCTGATTATAGCCGAGCCACAAACGAGGTTAAATCAGACAGCCTTTTAGGCCGAAATTGGTTGGGTAGCATGGTAAAGGTGATAACGTACGTGTCGAGTTGCGCTTTGAGTACGAGATTAGGACCCGTGCCTATTATAGAGCCTGTTCCACCTGCGTTGGCCGCGTACATGACAGCTAACATCATGATACCGCGCACCTGGAAATGACGGCTGTTAGCCTTATCCGGCCAAAGACAAAATGCTATAGCCTTTCTAAGAACGTATTATCATCTGCTATGCTAGCTCGAAGCGAACAATGAGTTACATAGGATGGGTGATGGTAATGAACGGGCGTAACTAAATCTGTGCAGGAAGGCTATCTGCTTCTTTGAATAATACGCTTATCTATAAAATGTTTTCTTATGATGTCTGCACAAGTACCTTTCGGGATTCCTGCTTTCCATTTCCCCCTTTGTGGACTAGCGGATCCATTGTCGGTAGCTCAGAGTCGAAGACCTATTGATAAGGGATTGATACGAGGAAGATGAAATCAGTATTTTGAAGTGTTTGATACAGTCAATGCCTGTCTTTTTTTTTCAAACAAAAAGCAGCGTCGAAAGGCGTAGATTCATAGCCAATCAGAGTGATTTATCGTATTTTCTCAGTGATACGTAAATATAATGCATGACGCCTGGGTTCGGCGCCAAATCTCCCCGTACATTTGGACTCCTCTGTCCTAGAATCCATTATGCACAACGTAAAGATTATAATTCTCAATGTCTTGAAAATAGAAAGGGCAATCTGACTCTCTATATCCCAGATGGAAAAAAAATGATCTATTAACTATCTATAATAGGCTGTAATTACTATATAACAGTATTTGGCTAACCGATCAACTAAAAGCTAAGGATACCTGCGGTTATTGCTGCGGTGGATAAAATGTTACCTGGTCAATTATTGACAGAGCGACTGGCCCCATTATTGAAGCCGACGCTGTGTTGGGGATCCACATAGACAAGAACATGGTTACCATCATTGTGCCCAGCAAAAGTCTGTTAAATAACAAAATAAACCAAGTTAGTCGATTACGATATACGCTGCGTTGCTTATAATTATTTGGAGGTGATTAGAAATCATCAGCAGGCAAAACGGGGCGCCACGTTGCTCCCGCTAAGGGGTAAGCGTCTGCATTGAGTTGAGAGATGCCTATTGTGATCTCGCACCGATATAGGGATAGGTAGAGGGTTTTTTTTTCCGTTGAAGCAAATGCTGACTCTGAATAGTACAGCGATTGTGCTGCTGTCTGTGTAGAGAATTGTCTAGAGATCTACCTATAGTGGCCCGAAACGTAATAGAAACTCTATCCCGTGGTATCACTGTTACCCACCGATCTATCTAATTAGTTTCCTAAACGATTGTCAAGCGAAAGAATGTTGCTGTACGAGCTCAATTTGAGATATCCATAAAGTATACTAACATTCAGCTGAATAACGTTAATATACTGGTATCCTATTGAGCAGAGACGTGACAGAGTTTTTATCTACCTAGATCTCGCTTATTGAAATTGGCAGTGGTATTCAACGTGCCGCTGGGCGTCACCTGTATGTACTCGTGCCAATTACGAGCAACGTCCGAAGTGAGATTCGTGTGTGCAGATTGCTGGTTTCGACGGCAGCCGCGATCGAAAGGGATGTAAGCATTAGAAAGCTGATGTCATCGAGGTAGAATCGTGTTACCTGCACCCACAGCAGACTCAATCGTATTTTTAATGCTAACGTCTATGATTGAATTCCTAATCGATTTCTGTTGCAATAATAAATAAAATTTTATTATTAGCTCTGTAATTTATTGCTAGTTAGTGCAAACCTGAGTGGAGCTCATGAGACCGAGCAATGGGAACGCAACTACAGGAATCAACGAAGTTACAGCCAACGGAAGAGCTTCTGTAGTCCATAACGCTGCCATAATCAGCATCAAATAGGCGCACCATCCTGCCTTTAAGTTAAAATTTAAAGTCAAACGTCAGAAAGGTTAAATAGCAGTGTGCGGACTTGCAACGAACGCAAGTATGATATCTTCCTATTGAAGGGTAACTCGAATGTAGGTTATTCGGGCACGCATATGGTCGTGGCATGGTTTTCTTGGAACGATCCATTCGATCGAATGATGCCAGGACCGTTGTGTGCGTGGTCTTCATGAAAACGAGGAGACAACTAAACTTTACGCAAATTTCCATTTTTGCATCTGATTTAGCTCTCCTTAAGGGACATATAACGTCTTAATGATTTATATTATGATTATATAATGTAATACCTGCGATCATGGGAATCGCATATGAACGCTAGTCCGCGTTTGAAAGACGTTTAGACAATGCACTAAACGCGCTCATGCGCCTTTTTCATTCTTTCGAGTTCGGTCACGTTGTTACATGCGGTCTCTTATCTATAGTAATCTTTGTTGTATGCGAGCCTTTGGCATCTTTTTAGGCCTTTTCGCTCGAGTGACTGTCTTGAAATATCCCAACAATGTTATGGTCCAATTAAGGCAGTCGGTTATAGGGATCGCTAGTGGACGTTTCCTTGATGACTAGTCACATTTCTGTTAGGCGAATCTAACAAAATTTCCAATTAATAGTATTTACTGTCTATTATTTTTATAGATAACAAACAACACATTTTTGACATTAGCTTGCATTAAAAATTACAGTTAATTACTTTCCCTATTTGAGCATTTGTCATCCCGAAGGCCTATTACTCACCTGTTAGTTAACCTGAGAAAGTCCAGCGAACTCTGCCTAAACAATAACAGTAATAATAATGGGTCACTTTTCATGGGGGTTTTTAATTAAATACGAATATTCGACATGTTAACGATAGACTCCACTGATATAGACCCTATTTAGATTGATAATTATCAGACACATCATCACTGACAGAGTGTACTCAGGGCTTTCGAGAACTCACGTCGGGTTTATAGGTTCCAGATAAATTTTTGAATGGGTTGGAAAGTTGAATACGTAAACCCTTAATCATTAGACGCCCAAAAATAATAGTTGAAGTCATGCACATTAGGGCGGGATAACGAGGCCCATGGTACCTTTATAACCTAAGGCACACGGGATTTATGTGCTCTACATTTAGAAGCCGATCAATGTATATTGCAGCAGTATAGATCTTTACATTACACGTCGCACACCTAGCCAAATGACACGGAAAGTGCACGATATCCGGTTGTGGCCGCTACAAATCGATTTTATATATGCACGTTTAAGGGTACAAGGATGAGGGAAAAACGTAAACCGAAATTAGAGTTTGACCACTTACATCCGTACGGTAAAAGACTGGCAACGGAAGAAGAGCTAAAGGCAAGATGATCGCGAACCAGCTTTCCCAAGAGGCAGCCATGACTTCAAGAATGTGGAGTGGAAGACGTTCAAGCTCCTGCTGTCGCCCGGCATTCTTCTTAACTTTCAAGCTCATTTCTGTCGTCGAGGAGCAAGCGTCTTCAGACGTGTTCTCTGTGATGACGTCGAACCGCCTCTTGCGGCGGCCGCTGCTGACAGTTTTTCCCCTGTTGTTTGTTTTGCTGCTGCTTTTTGTAGCGGAGGGAAGACAATAATGTCGGCTAGTCCAGAAGCCTAAAACGAGTGTAAGTCATAGGGCAACTTTTATGGGCCATTCAGGTAGCCGCTGTAGGCGCTAAACGCTATCGAAAAGACACGTCACCGAGACAAGCTACATCCTCTAAATAGTTTCGGCTACTCGAGCTGAGTGTAGAGGAGTTGGATGAAAACTATTTTTCTTTTTTTATAAAAAAAGGTGTAATTAGTTTGACTAAAAGCTTTATTGTTGAATCGATAATTCAAGATCAATAGCAAACATGTTCATGACTACAGATAGGTATAAATTTCACTCAAATAGTATACGCCTGAGTGTTACTCTCAGACTTAATTAATTGCTTTAGAGTTCAAAATAAAAAATGGTTGTCTTGAATATTAAAAAAAAAAAACAACTATTGGGTTTCTATATGGCTTCTTTCCATAGATGAAACGGGTAAAGGCGTAAGACGCTCAAAACACCGTGATTCTGCCACGGCAGAGTGTGTTAGCCTTTCGTTACGTTTGTTTGAATGAGTATAACTTGCATAAAAGCGTTAAGTTAAAGAAATCTATACTGTCACTTTGACAGTCAAGTCCTCTGTGGTTCATTGCAGCTGGTCTGATGCAGTCAAAACAGGCCAAAGGTCTATTAACGAAAACTACCTATCTGCAGGTTTAGCGAATTGGCCGTAGACAGATTCTGCCTAACTGAATCTACCACCGTGTATGTGGCATCCAGAGTTTCGCTATTCCCATAAAACTAGAAATTATAATTTTGGTTTTCCCAAGTAGTGCTAGCGAGTGATAAATCACGAGTTACGGCGAGTAGAATTAAGTTACCCTGTTTGCAAATAAAAGTTGTAACTTTTTTTGTAAAACTGCCAAAGGATCGTCCTTAATGTATCTATGTATACAACACATCTAAAAACTCGTAAAATTGAAATAGGCGAACCTTTTTTCACTGGAATGAAACACAGACAGTGGCATTTATCGGTAAATAATTCTGACTGGATATTGATCAAGTAGTACTTAAACCCCTTTTGGGATTTCGACATAATCACCTCCAACTAGATGCCACGACGTTAAACAGCCAAGATTAGAATAAGCTTTGCTATATATCATTACTATTACTTCAAAGATAACTTTTGTAAAAGACAGATGGTTTCTTAAGGAAAGCGCTCAGTTTCCCCTTGGCCAGGGCCAATTGTTCGGATCCGTCTCCACAGTCTTTGTTCGTATTTCATAATCTACGTCGCGGCCCACAGATGGCTTGACACCGGCTTATTTCCAATGCGTCGTTTATAAATAGCGTCGTCTGCCTTTCTATAGATCTACTTTCGCCAACGATGTTATACAGATTTTTAGAACGAAGTTTCGGGTATTCTCTTCAGTTTTTTGCTATCCAGTACTAGACTATTGGTTCGGATCAATCGAACGGCGAATCGAGGGAAATTAACGTGTGGGGGAGATCGGAAACAGTTAATTTTGCGCTACTTTAATTTTTACCCCATATAGGTAAAGAGATAATGAATGTGAACACTTTATACGACCATTAAATGAAGAGAAGAATAGCTTTTTTCAAATATCACTACTCTTATTCATTCTATGAAATAGCGTAGTATGTACGCGTTTCACTAAACACGAGCTCTGGCTCTTGAATAAAAAAAGAAAAAGACGCAATGATATTTTGCATAATGTTTCGTTAATAAATTGAACAGCGGGACTTTAACACTGGTTTGTTATTGTAAACAGAGTCGCATGGCAACCGACAAGATGGTTAAAATGCAAACCATTTATTATATGTGTATGCTTATTAACAATATCAACAGATGCTGTACTGTAAAATATGAAGACCGTTTATAAAAATAACACACAAGGTTAATCAGAAGTACAGGAAAGGGCTATATGGGGGGTTCTACTAACAATTTTAGTTAGAACCAACTGAAATAGCTTTAAACTGCATAAAATCGACTGACAAAAACAGACGGTAACAAGCAACACGTAGGGAACGTTCGCAGAACACCTGTTTTTTTTTTTTGGTACCGAGACGAAGTCAACAGCAGCGGAACTACCTTGCGTCCTACTTCTTGTCCTTGAAACAGGAGATGTGGCCCTTTCCAGCAGCCGTTTAAGCTCACCTCATACAAATGGAATCAACCTACAAAAGTAATTAATTTGCCTAAGGTGCAAAAAAACTCTTTTTGCATATCCATTGTCCAAAATATACTTCATATGCGAATCATACTCCTTGGCACCAATTTGCATAAAAAGGACTGTGTGAATGGACCTGTATGAGTCACCGAACCTGAAATATGCCGAGGAGCTGGAAGCAGTTAGTTATCCGTTAGGTCTAGCTTTAACTAGATTTTATTTATTTCGCCTTAGTCATTCAATCAATGGTCATTAACTCTCTTCTGAGAAGGTAACTTCAGATCAATTTCTTTCAGCTTTACGGAGGAATTTTCGTATGTCCGAGGTCATATAACAACTTTTCAAGACATTAACATGAACTAGCTGCGTATAAGCCACAAATTCAAACCACAAAAGCAAAGTTTCTGGTTGAGCAAATTCTGTGAGCTAGATGACGGCGATTAACTGTTTGTTGGAGATATCAGAAAAGTTGGACTTCTTAGCTATAGTTAATCAATTATTCAGTTAAAATCAATTGTTTTTGGGGAAATGCCCAAGACCCAAGTATAGAAATTGGCAGCTATCCAGAATTTCCGCTACAGCAAATGGTGTGTCTTTCCATCACGCGGTGCTTAGCGTTGAATATACGTTCAAACACCTTAAGCTACATAGACCACGCACAAAAATCGAAGGGCATTTGTCGATCGGAGCATTGACACGAAAAGGTGTCAAACAAAAATAGTTTATAGCATTACTGAATTTAAGCCTCGTTATTATGAAGTCGATATGGTAGATGAAACAATCCACGATAAATGGCAGCGTTACTATTAGAGGAAACATGAGGTATGCAAATTTAATCACATTGTTTCGAAGGACTTCAAGTGTCCATCAAGCGAACCGAAGACGACCATAGTTGTCACAGTACCGATTTAAACAAGCTCAAAATAATATCAAATACGTGACGCGAACGTTATTTTCTACTACGCAGTGAAAACCCGCTGAAGTTCTATTCTTAATCTGAAGTGCAAAATGCTAATAAAAGTGTTGCAATGGAATTATAGACTACAGAACTGGGAATCGAACCTTCTGAGCTGTTTTTGCATGTGCTATCTTTTGATACGTATTACTTTTCATAATACACCATATGCTTCAGAAGAGTTTTCGCACAGTATCGAAATAAATAGTCGAAAATGCGCCATTTATCTTCTGAATTTTACACTGAAAAAGCTTATCATTGTTATGAGGACTTGCACAAGATTACAGGAAGCCTTTCAACAAACAGTTTTATTATTAGCTGATATTTTCCTTCATTGACTAGTACAAGGCCTATAGGTACTCGTTTAGAGATTCGACGCCCGGAATTGTCGTTAGGTATCGTTTCGAATAAATTGGCCTCTGGTATTAAGCAACTCTCCTAAACCATTCCATATATCTTTATGTTCAGATGGCACACATGTTGAAACTGCGCGATCGTAGCGAAAGCTATAAATAAGTACAGCCTAAGCTTGGCACCAACCAAATTTTTTTTTAACATACCATCCAGCAAGTAACTTTGGTTTCCAGCGTTCCCATTTTTAGACACCGTTTCTCAACTGTTTGATGTGCTCCATCATCATGATCATCGTGCTCAGTTACTGCTTGTTTTGCTATCAATTTCATTAGTGGACGTGCTTTTGGCATCGGGCTCACTTGCCCCTCACTGCCGCCCTTGCCTGTGCCAATATAACAAACAAAAATGTCATTTGCGAAGTATGTACAGACGTTTCATTACGCTCAGAAAGCAGTGCAGACGGCTGACACAGAGAAGCAAATAACAATAGCCTTCGACAGTGAACAATTCAAACTAGGGAAGACATAGAAAAGGCACAATGTAAAGTTATTTCCAACAGAAAATAAATAGAAATTCGATGGCCCCCTAAGAGAACCATATGTGAAAGGTAAACGTAGGACACAAGAAGATAGTAATACTAGTCGTGATATTAATACCAAAAATCAATAATAATAATATTTATTATTATTATATAGTTATTACTAGAATGTAGCGATATGTTTTTTCTTAATAGTAACAAAACGATCAATTTCTCAATGTGTCCACGTGTCCACGGACCAGTTCGACCATGTACGTACTTGACGTAAGCGAATTTTCCTTCCCTATAAAAATTAATAGAAGCTTTGACATCTCGCTGCCTAAAGGACGTTATTAAGAGTATCAATTCCAAAAGTGATCAATTAAAATCATGTGCGAAATATATACTTACAGTTTACTTATTTGTAAGGCGGACGGCGCAAGCATAATCTAATCCTTCGTTAATTCTCAATAGTTACTTTCACATAACACCGATATCTTTGTCGAACACTGGACACTGCGATTGACAGCTTAATATAAATCCTTTACGCTGCATTGTTTAGCGAAGACCCCTCATTCGTATAGACCCGCAATAAACTTTGTCCTCAATCACATTCGATACGATATCATTTTGTACAATGAACGTTAGAGATTCTAGTTCAGTGTATACTAGTCAGTCAAGAGTCGCACGGCTACGTCACAGAAAAATGGGTCTCAATTTGAATACTGTGAGAAGAAAAGGCTTATCACTGTACGGTTACACAGAGCGAAGTGTCTCTGTTTATTCTATAGATCGGATAAGCAACCGTTCCGTAAATTGATTAGATCGGATCAGTATTTAATCCCGTGTCTCTATTTCTGATTCTGTCTGAGTGTCTGTGTATTCCCATCTCCAAATCGCTGCTGTTGACACGGCCGGTTGGGTTGTCAGTTTGCTTGCGGTCAGAAGCCACAAGAAGGGAAGAAGCTTTGGCAAGGGCAACTCGGTAATAATTCTCGACACCCTCACTCAGGGCGAGGCAAATGGCTATATATACGATGATACGTCAGACTCGTTGGAGCTATTGAAATGGACGGACAGGAAAACGCTAGGAACATATTTGAAATATGTAGAAGCAGGAAGTGGTATAGTTATGCATACTTTATTGGTTACACTTTTGCGCTACGCCGTCCCCGAGCTAGTCGGATACGGACATGCCACTGGATCTTTGTTTAGATCGTTTGTCCTTATAGATTTTCAACGTTGCTCTCTCTCATGTGCCTTTCAAGTGTAGGTGAATTAAAAGTTAACAAGAGAAAACTTGGTCATGAACAAAAAACCATGCAACGCGATTAAAGCAATTAAATTGTTGACACTTAATCTAAATTAATTAAAAAAAAATCAAAGGGCATATGGAGTTAGGCCTCCTGATGCTTAGGCCAGATGGTGTACGGGAAGCGAGAGTATCTTCTAGCATTAAAGTGATATGTGTATATTTGCTTAAAGAACATCATTGGAGCCACATAAACGAGCTTTCTTTCAACCAGTGAAGTTTTCACCTGAAAACCAACAGGTCGCTGGTAGGAGCCCTGCGGCGGGACTATGTAGACTTGGTGTTACCTAGATATGCTACATGAACCTGTTTAACTAAAAAACATAGACGTATCACATAATGGGCGGTTCAAATGCTTCGCAAAATTGGACACACTTAACAAGCATAAGAACAATATTGACCTTGTGCGCGTCTAGCTAACTGGGAGCTCGACAAGTGGGATCCAAGAATCGTTAGCTTGGGTCTGCAGTACGTGAGCTGTGGAAGCTTCTAGCATTACGCTGCTGTCGTTAACTAGAATCAACTAGTTGTAATGATGAAGCACAGTCTATATATCCAGAGGTTTTAATAGGTAAGTCGTGAGAGTTTTTTCCACGCGAGGAAACGACCTAAAGAAGTCTCGTTAATTGCCAGTAATAAACAGCAATCTAGAGCGGTGGTGTTTGTGTGCCATATCAAAAGCAACGCGTTTATATATAGAACATCCGGCACACTGTCTGCTATTGGTGCCGTCGGATGTTCCACCATTTCTGTCTGTCCTTAGTACTGGTTCAGGTAAAATGACGAGTAACAATGACTACTAGAGTGCCACTAGTTGTTTGCAAGCTCCTAACAAGTAATAAGATGATTACTCATCAAGGTCGACTTTCGAAGGATTGCCAGAGGCAATACTTTCTTATCACAGCATATTAGGCTGCAAGTGAAGGAAATATTACGAGAGCAAGAAAAAAAGACGCTAAATTGATAGAAATCTCATTTTTATGTAGCACAAATCCATGATAAGTTTGCGTGTCTATTCCATTTTTGTTAAGTTAAGAATCAAGCCCATAATTAATGGGCTAATTAATGGGAGCATTGGCGCGCCTTAGCAATAATGCCAAACAATAGAAAATTAAACTTACAATTAATTTGTTCTACTTTGGCTCTAAATGCTGCATGTCAACAATAATATTTAGGAGCAAAATATGTTAACGAAGCCCTTCCTATTATAACGGGCGAGTTCCGATAAGACGAGATTTTTTTATTACATTGTACGAACTGCGTCCTAAACGTGTTCCAGATCTCTACCCAAGTAAAAAAACACCGCCAAAAATACGATATTGATATCACTTTCTCATAAATAAAAGCCGATATTACAAATTTAGCAAAACCATACGTCTAGCGTCGCCGCTAGACACGTCATCATACCCCTGTCGCTTGGTTTGGTTTTAGGCCACAACGTGTCCCCACTATAAGCAGGCAAATAAGTTATGCACAAAGCTATCACGGTGGCCGTAATGAGTTGTCCACATCTAAGCTAACGTATAATATTATCAAAAATTTAGGTTAAACATTGTGAAAAGAGTTGTTCTAAACTGGCTAAAAATACCAATGCGGATAAAAAAAATATAGGGAAAACTTCCGCTTTTAGTGGGCACAAAAAATTGTAAGTTAGCCTAGCTTTCCGCTGCAGACAGGTGCATTCAAAAATTCGATAGATCTGTACATTAAACGGACCACACTATATGGCTATATTCCGTGGGTTGTCTCATACCGGTAGGCTACTTGCGATTCTTCCTTTGCATAATACCAAATTGCGATACAATATTTTAAATTTGAGAAGAATACTTAAGACCGTCTCGAGGATACCTCCGACGTTCCTTCGTCTGATGAAATCGTCCGATCATTCCCGAATCGATCATCGGCCGAATGATACGGAGCGCCTTTTCCCTAGTATCCAGCTTCGACCATTTTGTTTTGTACATGTTTGTCGAAATGGCAAATAAACAGCCACGAGAGTGTTCTCTATATACGTTCCACGGGCAACCCGCCTGCGGAAAAAATATCGCTGTCACGTACGACTTATTCTTGTATATATGTGTTTATACGCTTTATATTATCTTTGATTTCTCACATGGAACAGAGTGTACGTAGGCAACATACTGTTAGCGTATAGAGAAATCAAAGCAGAAGAAGGTTTGATAGCCAATGAGATCAACGAACAAACAATGTCGCCCGCTTTCAATTAAAGTCTACTAGTCGCAACGCAACCGTCGCACTAGACACTACTTTATCTGTTTAGAAATAACGTATAACGATAACAACCGTGTATCCATACTGGCTAGCACATTTTACAGAATGACTTCAACAGGCTTGAAGTGGAATGTGAGTACGAAAAAGGAGGAGGGACTCCAGTCATAAGAAGGGTAGGCGATACAATCGCCTTACTGGTCGGGTCTCAACCGTCGTCTTGGAGACCGAACTCAAGCGGAGGGCTCTTCTCGAAGGTGCTTGTGGTTGCACACTGCTCAGCTGTATCGGCCTGACCAGCTAAGGCGTATTCAGTGACGCGTTTTGCGCATCGTTATCGGATCTTCCTACCTAGGACAGCGACAGTTTAATGTGAGCGCGGGGGAGGTCCTGGTGGAAAACGGATTCGTGTGTAACTTTTGACAGAGACAGCAGACTAATGAAGGACAAGTCGTTAAGGTTGGTTTATTTCTTAGTTGTTTTTACCGTTGCTGAAACGGCAAGGGAGGTTAAATGGAAGTTATTAGACCGGAGGGAATTAGCTGTCAGGCCAAGCAGCAAAAGATCTTTTATCTTAGATAAATTCCGGTGTGTTTAATCACACACAGTACCACAGTCATTTTTGTTACTGAGCGTTGATTACTCTACATGGGTCGACGGGATGTAAAACGTGCAGATTTTATATATACGGCAG